GCGGCGACAGGGGCGTCTGGCAGCTGGGTCTCTGCCCCAGTCTGGGCTCCCTGCCGGTTCACACGAGCAAGGGCACCTGCGGTGGAGAGAGAGCCGTTACTCAGGCCCGTGGAAGCCGAGGCCGCAGTCATCCAGCGCTAAGGAGCGTGTGCAGGCCCGACTTTCCAGGGTCCTCGCCCACCAGGCTGGCTCTAGTGGGTCCCCAACCCCTCAGGGCCGAGGAGGAAACCCAGACACACAAACGCACTGAAACGCCTTCGGTGCCTCGCTGTGGCACTCAGGGGTGAAGGCGTGAAACCTGGGGGTCCCCGAGGTGTGTCTGCAGACCCCGCCCCTCGCCAGTGCTCCCAAGGGTCCGCCCCTCTCCCCCCTCCTGGTTTCTCTGAGCCCCGTGGCCGTCCCCTCCCTGGGCCCGCCTCTGCCTGCGTATCTCTCTGTTGGAGACGCCCCTTTCCTGGTGGGAAACGGCCAGTCCTCCCAGAACACGCAGGCGTAGCCCCTGGGGCAGGCGGTCCTGCTCCCCAACCTCGGCCGGCCACCCCATCACCCCCTCTGCCAAGCTCTCTGTCCCCCACCCGGGGCTCGTCCCCACCAGCCCGGCTCCCTCACCACCGGAGCGGGGGCTCCCGAGGCAGGAACCGCGCTGGGCTCACCACTGGCCCGGGTGCCGAGTCAGTATGGGTGGTGGCCACGAGCGGACACAGGCTCGCGCATGCCCGCTGCACAGCCCCTGCCTGTGACTGCACTGCCCGCGAGAGCTCAGGCTCCTCTCGGCTCCGCCCGCATGGGGTGTGGCCCCAGCAGCACACACTTGGGTTTGCAGAATTTTGAGGGGATATGTCAGTGCCTCTAAAGGCAAAGGTTGAGAACATGTTTGGCAATTACACATCAGATAAACGGTTAATCTCCAAAATATATGAGGAACTCACACAACTTAACAAAAGGCAGACACACAATCCAGTTAAAAAATGGGCACAGGACCTAAGTAGACACTTCTCCAAAGTGGACATACAGAAGGCCAAGAGACAGATGAAAACATGCTCAAAGTCACTGATCATCCGAGATGCAAATTAAAACGACCATGCGGTACCACCTCACACCTGTCAGACTGGCTATCATCAATAATCAACAAACGACAAGTGCTGGAGAGGATGTGGAGAAAAAGGAACACTTGTGCACTGCTGGTGGGAATGCAGACTGGTGCAGCCACTATGGAAGACAGTATGGAGTTTCCTCAAAAAGCTACAAATGGAACTCCCATTTGACCCTGTGATCCCACTTCTAGGAATATATCCCAGGAAACTAGAAACACCAATCAGAAAGGATATATGCCCCCCTATGTTCATAGCAGCACAGTTTACAGTAGATAAGATCTGGAAACAGCCCAGTGCCCATCGGCAGACGAGTGGATACAGAAGCTGTGGTTCATTTACCCCAGGGAATACTACATAGCTGTGAAAAAGAAGAATCCTTGACCCTTTGAGGCAGCATGGAGGGACCTGGAGAGTATCATGCTAAGTGAAATAAGCCAGTCAGAGAAAGACAAGTGTCACAGGATCTCACTCATATGTGGAATCTAACGAACAAAATAAACTGATGAACCAAACAGATCCAGAGACACAGCAGCATGGAATGGACTGTGGAATTTCTGAGGAAGGGGGTGGGGTAGAGATCCACCAAAGACCTTGTCTCCATATATGCCTAACCCCTGGGCCAGACACTAGGGTGGTGGAGGCCTGGGCGGGGCGTGGCGGGCTAGAAGGGACCAATGGGGGGAGGAAAAGGGACATCTGGAATGTTTTCAACAATAAAGATTAAACACATTTTAAAAAAATTAATTAATTGGAATAAAATAAAAGTAAGGGTAAAGGTTGAGAGCGTTCTCAAGCGAAGTGACAGGCGCATGTGCCCGTGTGTGGGAGGCATGATGGGTTCCTGAGCGCGTTCACGGGCGTGAGCGCGTTCTAACGTTAACGGTGCCACCTTGAGCATCCCGCGTTCAGTGCGTGGTCAGAGCAGACACCCAGGGACGCGACGGAGTTCACACCAACCACCACCTGGAACCCCTCCCCCGAGAACACTCCAAGCCCCGGAAAGGGCTCAGCTCCTCCAAACCCCAGCTCGGCCAAGGAGCAACGCGTTCCCCCATTATCACTGCAGGTGTGGCCTCCAGCGCAACGATGAGAAGTCTGGGTTTAGAGCGGTGACTGGCCCCAGATTTTAAAAAAACACAGTGAGTAGCGACCAGCCGGTGTGGTTGAGCATCGGCCTATGAACCGGAAGGTCAGGGTTCGATTCCGGTCAGGGCACAGGCCCAGGTTGCCGGCTCGATTGCCAGTGGGGGGTGTGGAGGAGGCAGCCGATCCATGATTCTCTCTATCACTGATATTTCCACCTCTCTCTCCCTCTCCCTTCCTCTCTGAGATCAATAAAAAACAAAAACAAAAATAACAAGCAAACCAGTGAGTAGCCCTCCCCCCGGGCACACCCGAGGGCAGGACGAGGCCCCAACCGCTGACCCGCTCGGCTCAGCCTGCCTCTGTCTCCATGAGCGGACCAGCCTCCTGACAGCCTGGCTCCATCGGCCTCCCCACACCCGGCTGAGGAAGGGAGCGCTGGATGGAGGGGGGCCTGG